TGGACTCCAGGAAAGAGTTCTAAATAGAGGAGGCAGATAGGCTGAAAGCCCAATGGTGGGGCGAGTAGATGGAGGATGAAGCAGGTTAATGCTCGCTGAGGATATCTCAAGGAGATTCACAGGATATGTTGCAAAGTTTCGTGACTGTATATTCTAGGCGAATGTAGCAATCAATTTACATGGAGTCCTGTAGCTCAGTGGTTAGAGCACTCGCTTTGCAAGCGAGAGACCTGAGTTCAATTCCAGGCAGGGCGAAACCTTGGTCAAGTTTCCTTACTCCACACGCCTAATAATAATCCCTCCAAAAGCAAAAACAATAATAAATTGGTCAATTTCAATCTACGACTGTTTGTGGGACATTGCTGTGCGCAATTGGCTGCTGCGTTCGCCCACAAATATACAGTCAATTCACTTTACAGTGTGTTCTGTGAAGCGCTTTGGGACGTCCTCCTGACATGAAAAGCGCTACATCAAATGCAAGGATTATTATTATTATTATTATTATACAGCAATACCCCTTAAACAACCACTAAGTGAATGACCAATTCTTAGTTGGGGGTCTATTGGCCAGGAGAAACTCACTTCTCTTGTTGAATAGTGCCATGGGATCTTTAACGTCCATTTAAACAGGCAGACAAGACTTTAGTTTAATGTCTCATTCGAAGAACGGCACCTCCTGCAAAGCAGCACACTCCAAACACTGCCACTGGAGTGTCATAAAATGATAATAATAATAAAATCCTTATATTTGCTATAGTGCCTTTCACAACAGGAGGACGTCTGAAGAAGCTTCACAGGATATACTGTACAGTGGAGTGACTGTACATCTTGTGGGCACATATTCTAGACTATATGAGTTCAAGGTACAGGTGTGAGGTTTGAAACCTACAAATTTCTAACTGAGAGGCAAGAGTGCTAACAACTGAACAGTGGAGTTTTTATTGTGTCGGTGCTCCATTCAATAATTTGAGCACAACTTGATACTTGTCTGTATATCTATTTGAAGGGGCTTTACCTTACCTGTGTTCGAGAATGAACTACACTCAGCATCTGCCTAGTTTATTTCCCTTTGCTGCATGCAGAAGTCTCTTTCTGAACTGTATACATGTGACTGTACTTATATATGGGGCTTTGAATAGCTATAATAATAGCATTCAGCATCTGAAGGAAATTTATCAGTTTTCGCCAGAGCAGATATTTCTTTTTCGTTCAACTGAACAACGTCCTGTGAAACATTTTTGCTTTAGGTGTCAGTTTGGCTCATTTGGTAGCATTCTCATGTCTGGGTCAAAAGGTTGTGTTCAAGTCCCATGAGCTCACAGTCCAGGTTGGCACTCTATTATAGCACTCCTCCCTCTATCGTTGTGCAATCCTGTTGTGGATAAAACATCAAAAATCAAGGTCCTTTAAAGATGCCATGACACTATTTGAAGAGCTTGCCTTGGCTATCAATGCTCCAGGTGAATTGCTTGTTCATCTCATAGTTGTTGGTGGAACATGTTTGTTGCAGTTGCCTGCAATGTACAGTCATTGCAATGGATAGTAATTACCTTTGAAGTACTTTGAGAATTTGCAATATAATAATGCGTTGTTAATAAAATTGATAATAAAAACATCACTTTTTTTTCAAGAAACTTGTGAGGCATTTGGCAGTTTGCCCTTTGGCTCCCTGTCAGTTTTGTTTCTGACAAAACAATACACTTGTTCTCATGCGTGAGAATTACAAAATTGCGTGCGTACACACGAGGTTACCAAGGATTCAATATCACGCACACAGTGGGTCAATCAGATCCTTGTAACACAACTAGGAACAGGGACAAGGCACAAGAATGCAATTTCACAATTCTAGTATTTTATGATTGATTATACCGTATTGCACTGAAAATAGAGCAAGTTCCCACCCCCCCCACCATTACATTTCACTAAGCTTATATTTGGGACTAACCAAAACCTGCAGGATGTGTGGGCATATCAAGCCCTTAATAACCTCACGTGCATGAATGCAATTTTACATTCCCGTACTTGCGTGCAACTGGATTGTTTTGCCAGTAGCAAAAGGTAGGTGTTAACAGAGAGAGAGTCATAGAGAACCAGAGAGAAAAAGAGAGTCAAAGATTCGGGCAAAGATTTAGAAAGTTGTGGAGAGGGGGAAAGTAGACTTAGAGCGAAAGAAAGGAAAATAAAGATGTGAGAAAGGGTTAGAGAGAAAGAAAGTCAGGGAAAGAGAAGGGCTGGCAAAGTGTGATTTCTTGAGAACTTTGGAGAATACTCCAAATTGTCAGTGTTTTTTAAATATGGAAAACCTGTTATTGCTGTTGTTAGGGTTATTATAATGTGCTGTAATATTGTTCTAAAATTATATAAAGTATGTGTTGATTATCTGCACTATAATTACCACATTACATATCTTAGTTAATATCCTCTACTGTAACTATAACAATTGGAGATGGGATTTGCCTTTTAATTAAAATTGCCTCATATTCAGAACAATATGGCAAATGGACTTGTTTACATCTAATTGCATTAAACATAAAAATAATAATAATCATAATCCTTGCATTTTCATGTCTTCTAGACGTCTCAAAGCACTTCACAGAATATAAAGTGAATTGATTGTATATTTTTGGGCAAAAAGCGGGAGCCAATTACGCACAGTAGTGTCCCACAAACAGTCAGGAATTGAAGTGACCAATTTATTATTGGGTTTTTTTCTTGAGGGATTATTATTAGGCGTGTAGAGTAAGGAAACCTGCCAAAGGTTTTGCCCTGCCGGGAATTGAACCCAGGTCTCTCGCTTGCGAAGCAAGTGCTCTGAACACTGAACTACAGTACTGCAACTATGTGCAATATAGATACAGTACGGTGGTGAAAACCCAGAATCAGTTGCTCCAGTAAACATGCACAAAACAGGAGAAAACAGAACAAAGTTCAAAAAGTCAATGTTAATGGGGAAATTGTGAAGCTTCCCAGAGGCATTCCCATTATAACCAGATCTTTACTTTTGATAATTATATAGCAATGTGCTGGCTTGATTCTATTGAAGTTTATGAGCCATCCAAGCTGCCAAAAGAGAACCTGAACTGCCAATTTATATAAATTCACTTTGAATATGGAATCCACAGACATGTCTTGAAGCTTTATGTCACTTTTCGTGACAATACTTCACACAGATTTACTACCTGTGTGTTTACCCACACAGTCTGATGCTGACATTCTTCTGGTGTTAGTTTTAGGACTATTGTTTTAAACTATCCCGGAAAGTTGCTAAAAATGGTTTCCAAATTAAGCAACTTAATTTGGAAACCATTTTTTTCCCTTTTTCTTTTCAAGAATTAATTGTGTCGGACTGGCACTGTTGGATGCACACTTGCCTCTGAGGTGGAATTTTTATGTAATTAAAATGCGAAGCATAGACAACGTCCATAATTGTATTTATTCATTGCTACATTGCAATGAAGCTTAAACAACCATTCATTTCACAAAGCGAAATTCAGAAAACAGTTGCATGAATTTGTATTAAAATAGGCAAATTTCATGTATAAATTATTTGCATAAAAAGTTGTACAATAATATTTGCTACAAACGTCTGCTCACATCGTTGGATAGCATTGTCTTTTCTATATTATTTATAATAAAATAATTACGGTAATTTTTTTGTATTAACAAATTATATGAAACTGCAAAAAGGTAAGTTTGAATGCAAAATCTGCAATAGTATTTTATTTAATCCTACATCCCATGATTCCATAATAAAATACAATACATGTTACCAGTGTATAAAGTCGTTTAAGTATTGTTGCAATTAACATGAGTTTTATGTTCATGCCACAAAGCATAATAAATCAAATCACAAATGCCAAGGTTGATGATTATAATACCAACACAAGAATATCATAATTGTATCCTTTGATAAGCATCTGCCACTAACCAGGCAGTTTCCTCACCTTCAAAGCCCTCCATGGCCTTGCTCCTTCTACCTCTGCGACTTTCTAACCCCCTACCATCCTGCCCGATACCTCCGCTCAGCGGGCTCCGGCCTGCTTCACGTCCCCTGCCTCGCCCGCCTTGCCATTCTGTCCCTATCCTCTGGAACTCCATCCCACAGTCCCTCCACTTCGCCCCCTCCCTTGCCACCTTCAAGACCCATCTCAAGACCCTCATCTTCAACCGTGCTTTCAATCTCCCTGCTTACCCCCCCACTGCCCTCCACCCTCCCCAATCCCGCCCCCAGCTCAGGTCCAAAACATTGTCTGTCCAGCGCCTTGGGTCATCCTCCCGAAATGAAAGGCACTTTACAAATGGAATTTCATTGTTGTTATTGTTGTTTCCTATACTACAAGACAGCTGACCTTTGGGTTATTAGGTCACTTGCTGCATGTTGCATACAAGCACGCTATAAGCAGGAATCACCATTAGCGTCCACTCCTGCATGATACACATGGGCAGCTTTGCGCTTATAATAATAATAATAATTGCATTTGATATAGCCCCATAGCACATAGTTGAGACATCTCAAAGTGTTTCACATATATATTGTGGATTGACTGTGTAATTTGTGGGCAAAATATGGCAGCCAATTGCGCACAGCAGTGTCACACAAACAAGTCATGGTTTGAGTGACAATTTTTTTTGTTAAAACAACAATTTACACTATTGATATTTATATTGTGACTAACAATCTCATTGACAAAACTAATCTTAGAACTATCTCTAACAGAGTGACAACATTGTTCCACAACATTGTTGTATCTCTGTGAAATAATTGTTTCTCACAGAAAAGATAATAGTAATGATAATAATCCTTGCATTTGATATAACTCTTTTCATGTCTTCTAAACATCTCAAAGCGCCACAGAATATACTGTAAAGTGAATTGACTGTATATTTGTGGGCAAAACACGGCAGCCAATTGCACACAGCAGTGTCTCACAAACAGTTGTGGATTGAGTGACCAAATTATTATTATTATTTTTTTTCTTGAGGGATTATTATCAGGCATGTGGAGTAAGGAAACTTGCGCGGCTAGTGCTCTAACTGAGCTACAGGACTCCCGAGTTTAAAGATAGAGTTTAATTGCAACTTCTGGTTAGATTGGAAATCAAACCAGTGACCTTCTGATTTCTGTGATGTGCTTACTGATTAAGGCATCAGAGGAATGTCCCAGTTTTATTTTAAAAAATATACAGTTTTAAATGAAAGGAATACAAACTCCTGTTTTAAATTATCTGGATGGCATTATTAGTGACACATCTTGGTATAAGTAGTAATCTGCAAGTATGGCTAAAGTGATATATCAGGTCCCACTATATGCGTGGAGACACAATAATCTTGTAAGATTTGGGTTTCATTGTGAGTCCATAATTTGGAGTCAGATCAAGTTTCTGGTCAGGCAGGTTCTCAATCTTCAGCTGGTGCAACAAACTAGTTAAAAAGATAAACATCTCTAAGCGTGCAATGTTCTCACCAAGACATCTCCTCATACCCATCCCAAACATCATGACTTTCTCAGTCACATCCTTATTGAGCCCTCCTCTTTCATCCAGAAACCTTTGAGGAATGAATGATCCTGCATCCTGCCACAGTGTCCTAAAAAAGACAAAGAGCTTCACTATCAAAATGCAATGAGTTATAAGAGAGAAAGAAATAATCAGGATCCCGCTCAATATTTATTGATCCATGTTTGAAAATGTGCCTTAGTGGTGTTAGATGAGAACGAGATTGGGTTTGTCTGTAATGGTGTCCATGGCTAAATAACCTGCCAACATTCAATAATAATATACTAATCAATAATAATCCTTGCATTTGGTATCGCAAGATCTTAGAACCATAGAAATGCATAGCACAGAAGAAGGGCATTTGATCCATTGTCTCTGTGCCTGCTCATTCAAGAGCAATCCTTTCAGTCCCACTTACCTACCCTTTCCCCATTACCCTGTAGCTGACTCTTTTTAAGGTATTTAGCTAGTTCCCTCTTGAAGGCCAATATGGATTCTGCCTCAACCATTGCTCCTGGTAGGCCATTCCATATCCTAACTGATCTTGCGTGAAAATACTCTTAAGCTCCCATTTGCCCATTTACTATGTTAAATTGGGATGTCCTCCTGACGTGAAAGGTGCTTTACAAATGTAATTTTGTTGTTGTTAAATTGATGCCCTCAAATTACTGACTCATCGACCAGTGGAAATACTTTCTCTCTATTTATTCTATCAAAACTCCTCATAATTTTAAAGATCTCTATCAGGTCTTTCAGCTCAACTATCTTTGTTCTAGCACAAAAAAGCCTTGTTCCTCCAGTATCCATCTCAAAGCCCTTCACAGGGTATACTGTAAAGTGGTGTGGCTGTTTGTTTTGTGGGCAAACTCAATATTTAGATTGATACATGAGGAATAGTTACTTTAGAAGGTACCAGAGGGTCAGAATCTGTGGAACTGTACCTCATCGAGAGTCAGCAACTTCAGGAAAGGAGAAAAGTAACGCAAGACTTGCCTCCCTTTCCTCCCAAAACAAGTAAACTACATGATGAATAGCAATCTTCAACTTGGAGAATTGCCAACAGAAAATGTCATTATAATACCAATAACAATGTTAGTGCCAAAAGTCTAAGTTGTAAGATAACCTCAACAATTTATCATTTGTTTTACCAATTTTCCGCCAGTTGTACAGAAAGTATAATGATATAATTCCATTGCAGTTATTATATCATACTCTTCTTGTTTGTTTTGCGTTTTGTTACTGTTCTTTCAAATTGCAATAGTTGTCTAGCATATTGATAAAATCATAGAAATTTACAGCACAGAAGGAGACCGTTCAGCCCATCGAGTCTGCACTGGCTCTCAGAGCAAGATGTTCATTCAATCACTCTGCTCTGCCTTATCCCCATAACCCTTTAAGTCTCTTTCTATATCTGTCAGCTACCCTCCTGAAACTCAAAATGGGCTCTGCCTTTACCACCTTACTCAACAGGACATTCCACATCCCCAAATCTCTGAGTGAAACAAATTCTCCTAAACTCTCCTTTTGCTCTTCTCTTGACTATTTTATAGCTATGGCCCTTTAGTCACTGTCTTTCCAATTAGCGGAGTTATGCAATTGTATATTCTCCATAACATTTCATGCAAAGAAGTTTTATATGTAATTATGTNAAAAACAGAATAACAATAACTTGCCAATAAAAAGACAGAGTTTGTTTTTAATCTCTCATAATACACAAAATACTCACTCATCATGATTAACCTGATATTGGTTTATGAAGACACAAGTATCCTTGGGGATAAAATAGCCATTAAGCGTTGTGCTGGCTGTTGTGCTGTAAGATAAATCAATACAATTATATTGCATGTATTTTCCAGAACAACTGAAAAGAGATTAACCATAAGACTATTGTCCCCTAAGTGCTAACTGGAGCACAACATCATAAATCTGGCATGTATTATACTTTTTTAAAATTTGTCCCATACTTTCATTGCCTAAAAGGATGTGGACAAAAAATGGCTACAGAAGTTAAATGACTTAAACTTGATGAAATTTCCTCATTGTGCTTCTTTCTTCAGGGGAAGTACATTGCCCTTATGGTCAGAGATATCACGGGTAGCGCAACTTAGATTGCCAACTCAATTACTCTGTTTTGAACTGTTATTCTGCTCATAGCAGAATACATCTTGTTTCCAGAGATATAATCACAGAATCTTTACACCGCAAAAGGATCACATTGAGGGTTCAGTTGCCAAGTAACATGACAGTGAAGTTCTAGTGGTTTATCATATCAACTACATCTTTCCACTGAATTACTGCATTGCAATCTCATTGCCAGTCATGTGTGCATTTCTCACTTATCTAACTCCAAACATAAAAATAAAGGAGGATCCTATTAAATAACAAAGGGGGCTGAGTTAACCCTTCCTTGAAACTTACCAATGAGGAATTGTGAATGGCATATAAGTCGTGTGTCTGAACACTTCATTGATGAAGGCTTCAGTGAAAGGCAACAATGTTCTGTCCTCAAACCTCGGCAATCTACTTTGTCCAACTTTTTCATCTGCAAATATATATTTACTTATATCCTGACTTACAAATGAATGTGCATACAAAATTCAGACTGTAACATTTCAAGCTGCAATTTTCTACATGATCCCAGAAACAATAAAAATAAACAAAAGGAGAGAAAATGTGGCAATTTGTAAGAGATCCAAAATAATTATCATATTGAATCTTTTAAAAATGGTAACATTTCAATCAGTAATTATTGACTGGCTTCAGATCTGAATACCCTCACGATTGTGACACAATAATTTGTTCCATAGAAGCTTTTGAAATTGACTGATTGCCATCTTGGATCAGCGTGTCGTGAGAGTGGATTGACTGTATATTTTGTGGGCGAAATGACAACCCCTGTATGCTATTCCTCTAACATGCAGCATAGAGAACAGGTTATTTTTGTTACAGTATTGCTGTAGGTTTGTGTGCTCGCCGCATTTTTGGCAAGAAAAGAAAATAGATTAACAATGCCGGCTGATGACATTGTACATGATGTTTAATTATGAAAATTATTGCAATTTTGATCAGCTAATAGCCTATATATTAGTGTTTTAGATGTATTGCTACAACATTAATTGTCAGCAACTAGGAGTTTGAGCTCACAATCTAGTTTAGCAACCCAGGAGCTGGGTAGCGCTGAAATGTCAAAGGTGCTATCCCTCGGTTGAGATGTTGATTTGGAGTCCTTCTACCTGTTCAGATGGGTGTTAAAGATACCATGGCATGACTCAAAAAGAGTTTCCTTAATAATAATAATAATCCTTGCATTTGTTATAGCGCTTTTCACGTCGGGAGGATGTCCCAAAGCGCTTCACAGAACACACTGTAAAGTGAATTGACTGTATATTTGTGGGCGAACGCGGCAGCCAATTGCACACAGCAATGTCCCACAAACAGTCGTAGATTGAAAATGACCAATTTATTATTGTTTTTGGTTTTGGAGGGATTATTATTAGGCTCTGTGTGGAGTAAGGAAACTTGCCCAAGGTTTCGCCCCTACCTGGAATTGAACTCAGGTCTCTCGCTTGCAAAGCGAGTGCTCTAACCACTGAGCTACAGGACTCCACTTGGTGTCCTGATCAACAATATTCCAGATAAAACTGGTCATTCACTTCATGGCTGGTTAAGGTACATTGCTGCGTGCCAATTGGCTGTCACATTCGCCTACAAAATACACAGCTACAATACAGTAAAATCCTGTGAAGCCCCTTAATATGCTTCAACTATGTGATAAGGCACTGTATCAAATGCAAGGATTATTATAACTAAGATCATATGTGCATAGGCATTCCAGAACTAAAACACTACAATCTATCTAATTTTCTTCAACCACACATTTTTTACTAAACCTCACTGTATAACTAATAAACTTAGTTTTATTATTTCTTGAAGACATTTTGCTATACTGCAAGGTTCCATACTCTACACTTTTGTGTGTGTTTGTGTTTCTGACAGTGAGCGATTATTTGATAAACTGTCACTATGCGTGTCAAATTTGCCTACAAACACGCAATCACTACATGTAACAGTAAGAATCCCATGAAGCACTTTGAAATGTTTCAACAGCATGATAGTGCACTATATCAAATGCAAGGATGGTGATTATTATTATAAATTCTGGTTACCTTTATGCACTGGTCCCAATTCTAACAGCAAGTTAAAAGCTATGCGCAATTGGCTGCTACATTTCGCCCACATAATATACAGCCAATTCACTTTCCAATATATTCTGTGAACCACTTTGAGATGTCTCAAGGGCATGATAAGGTACTATATCAAATGTAAGGCATATTATTATTGAATAAACTCAGAATGTCTAGATATCTTATGTTGGGCATGGTCTAAATATTTTATGTGTGTTAGGTACAGGAAATTTTTATTCTGTCATCTGGATTGGATTTGAATGCTGGCCCCAAATTTACAGCATCCAATCCCCCTGCAGTTCCACAGAATCATTTTCTGTCTCACTCTGTTATTGTCTTTACCTATTTCTTGTTGGATTCTTGTTTGGAATTCAGGATACTGTATAAGGTAAAGCAAGCACCACTGCAAACCAGTTATGATTGTATCAAAGCCTGCAAATGAAAGAAAGATAAATTAATATCATAGAATATGTGTGTATTAAATGACATTTTGTTTCAAAAACAATTACGTCTCCTTGAAAACACCCACTTTTGTCTGCCCTTGGTGTAAATCAGAATCAGAATTGAATAGTCATTATTATTATTATGATACATTGTGAGGTGCACAAAACTTGAATTCTGGGAAGGAGGCTTTTATGTTTAGGAACAATGTAATCTGAAGAATAGTTTGCTGCAAGGTTAGCCAATGGGATTGAAAAGGTAAACCCAAATCAATACTTCAGGATGCAGTGGAACAAGTGGACATTGGTTTAGAGTTGTAATGGGTAATTTTAGGTCAGTTACCAGGACGATTTCTTTACTCAGAGGGCAATTAGTGACTGGAACAAGTTGTCAGGAAGGCAGTTGAGGTCAGGACACTGGACTCATTTATAAAGCAGGTTGGTGCTGTGATGGGGGGATAAGGTAGGTATACTGGAAGGATAAGGTCGGATCATGGGTTGTCTTTATCCAAACCAATCTTGTGATCTTTCAATGTATGTAAAAGAATGAGAATTGTAGGAATTTGCCACCTCTGATGCTATACTGATAAAATCATATCTCTTGTCTTATGAAGAATAAGAGTGGAGAACATTTACCTTACACTGCAGCATGAAAAGGCATCATATGCTTTATAAGTCTGTTTTGTCTTAAAATATAAGGTTATGCAGAATAGTGAATTATTCTTAAATTCAGTCTTAATTTGAAAGCCAAGGTCATGGATTTCTTGCTATGATTGTGCTGAATTTGCTGCTGGGATTATGTGGAGCAGGGTACAAATACTATAAGAAAAGACAATAGACGATAACAACAAAAAACATAAACCATTGCAACAGTGCTTTCACTTGATCTTTGTTTTGTTTGATTCAGTGCTATCAAATTGTAATAATAATAATCCTTGCATTTGATATAGCACTTTTTATGTCATCTAGACATCTCAAAGCGCTTCACAGAATATATTGTAAAGTGAATTGGCTGTATGTTTGTGGGCAACCAATTGCGCACAGCAGTGTTCTTCATTAGTTTAACTTCCCTTATTTAAGGGGAAGTGTAATGTCAATACAAGCAATGCTAACTGCAAACATAAATTGTGTTTAGTTACTTCCCTCCCTTCCAATCTGACCCCTGTTATAAACATAATGCTCTGGGTCTATCAGCTCAGACCCCTAAGTTAAAACAATTTTTTTTTTAAAAATGACTGAAATGCGAGTTGTCAGATCACCTCTGATGCAATATACAGTAAGTGACATCAGGGGCAACCTGATGACCTTGAAGGTTGCCTTTTATTATTGTGAGAAGTCAATTAATCAGTGCTGTAATTCAGGTGTACTGCACTTCCTGTATAGCGCCACAGTACATCGGTCCTCTCAGCAGACCTTGGTATTCCAGTGAGGCCACCTGGTATTTTTGTTAAAATCTATGTTGACCAGTGGTGGCCATCTATGGGCCGTGGGCCAGAAGTGCCCTGCGGGGCGGTCAAGAAGCAGCCCCCAAACATTCGCACAAGTCTAGGTAAGACCATGTTCAATCAGTTGGGTTTTAATTTTCTTGATTTATGGCAAACATCAAAACAAAATTCAATCAAGAAAATGTATTTTGTTGGCCGACCGAAAAGGTTATTTAGCAAATTTAGTGAGTAGAGATTAATAACAAGGAAAAAGTTAATAAAAACACTCTTCCCGAGCCAGCAACCAGAACTACATTATTGGTTGGATTTAAATGTTGCTGTTGAAGAGGTTGGGCTAGTGATATAAGTACTTAATTATTGCTCAAAATGCGAAAACATGTCCTAGCTAGTACTGAGACTTTGGCTTGTGTTACCAAGATCAATGTTAAGGAACAAATCAGTGGCAAAACCTATTCATCTGAACAGCAATTGGCTGGAGGGAGATGGCTGGATCTCTTATCTTAGCTGCTTTCAGACTTGAGGAAATATGAATACCTTCCCTCAGAAAAGACTTCCAAAAAGCATTTGGCAAAGGATCACATAAGAGACTTTCTTGCAAGCTGATATCACTCAGTATGAAGGGGAAAGACTTAAACATCCATTTGAAATTGAATGAAGGGAGGTGGCAGAAGGTAGTTGTTACAGGAGGTAGTTAAAATGTGGGAGGTATTAAATGCCTCAGGGGTTTATATTGGGATCTCTCCTATTTGTGATATACGTAAAAACAAACTGGATTCACAGATTCAGTGTAAGGTAGTTACATTAACAGATGACACAAGTCAGGGTGAACTGTGGAATCGGAGGAGGCAGCTAAGATCTGACAAAGAGAGCTGACAGGATGTGCACGGACAGATGAGTTCAATACAGGCTACTGCATATACAAAGTAAAATTAGGAGGTACACATGCTCCATGGATAGGATGGAATGAGCCAAGAGAGGAGGCTGAAAGAGACTCAACTGAAAGAGGATCTACTGTTAGTAGATTCATCAATCACCATGTCAAAACAGTGTGAGGCAGCAATAAACAAGGCAAACAAATGAGGACTCTTTAGTCTTGAAATGAGGCAACTCAGTGGAGACCTTATGAAGGTAAATAACATTATAAAAGAGATTGTAAGTAAACCTACGAATACCAGGATGCACCAAGGCAGTAGAACAAGAGGACTCAGGTTGAGGGTTGCAAAGATCAATTTCAGGATAGGCACCAGGAAGGATTTCTTTCCCCAGAGGATAATTAATAGGTGGAATAGGTTGTGAGGAAGGCTGGTTGAAGCCGGAACACTGGAATCATTTAATAAACAGGCTGTGATGTGATGGGAAAATGTAGGGTGAGTGTTCTGTAAGGATGAGATCAATTGGGTGAAGCGCCTTCTTCATCCAAACCAATCTTGTGATCTTATACATGAGACAATACATTTTGGAAGGACAAGCATAAATAAGATTTGGAGGAAAGAGGAACAATTGTTCAACAGGAGGTTATGGGAGGATTTCATCAATGAGAAGCATTGGTCTTTCTTGTTGCATTTAATGCCATCATGATATGGCGACAAGTAGAACTATCAGAAAGCTAATATTGCTTATTGCAAGAGTCCCCCACATTAATCATGAAGTACATGGGTGAAATGGGCTGTATTATGTGCCGATCATGGAAAATTGTTATTTGTTAACAATATGATTTTCTGTTCTGAACAAGTAATTCAAAGATCTAGTTCTACACTAACTGCCTTTGATACTCCATATTGTTTTTGTTCCAATAGTGATAAAAAGTGATCAGTAAAATCAATCTCCGAATTAATTTAATAAAAGATCCACAAATCGTGCCATGTTACTTTGATAGTACCTTGAGGTGTCCTCCTGCTGTGAACGGTGTTATATAAATGTAAAATGAGGTGTATCAGTCAGGCTCAGTTGGTAAGACCCATATCTGGACATGGAACCATAGGGTGATATTGCAATGTAATGCTGGGGGAGTGCTGCATTATTGGATGTGCAGTCCTTTGGATGAGACATTAAATTGAGGACCCATCTGCCAGTCCAGGTGAACGTTAAAGATCCCATGTCGTTATTCAAAAAGACAATAGAGTTACTCATGGTGTCCTGGCCAACAAATAAAATTGAATAAAATTTGGCATTCATTCCGTGACCTTTTGTGGGACATTTTGTTGCACAAGTTGGCGATTTCATTCGCTCGTAAAATGCACATAATCACAACACTTTATTGTATAGTCTGTGAAACACTTCGAGCCATCTCTACGAATTGATAAGGCACTATATAAAATGCAAGAATTATTATTATGAATTGTATTGCATAAATTGTATTGTGTTGTGATTAAAAATGAAGCTATATCACTATCCTACTTCTGAGAATCTCTTTATTTGACTACATTTATTTGGCCAGAAATGGCACTGATTCAATTTCCAGTTTCAATTATGATTAAGTTAAAAGCTGAAAACAAAACATCTGCAAATAATTTTAAATTTAGTGAAACAAAAGAGGTATTCATGGAACAGTAATGTATGCCAAAGATAAATTGCTGACTGAATTTTTAACTCTTTGAAACTAAAAAGATAAACCATTTAAACCTAGACAGAAAGGGGTGTAATTTGCAAGATTTGCAAAATATATTTGCAATTACTGAATCCTTCAGGTATCTGGATGTCTGAAAATGTTTCTTTGGAACCTCAGAAGCCGATCTTAATTCTGACACTTGGAAAGCCAGATTTTAGCCAGTGCGGCTTAAGGCACCCAACAGTAGATCAGAGTCAGAACAGAGTTCTGGAGGATTAGCCTCAGACACATTGCTGAGCCAGCAGGATCTGCCATTCACCAATCCTTTTGTGAATATAGCTCACAAATCTACTGGATCCTTCGGATGAGCCGTTACGTCTGTCTACCTGTTCAGGTGGATATTAAAGATCCTATGTCACAATTCAAAAGAGAATGGAGTTTCTCCCAGCATCCTGGTCATCAAACCCCAAAACAAAAATGGTCATTCACTTCATGGCTGTTTATCAGACACGGGTATGTGCAAATTGGCTGCCACGTACAAAGTACACGGTCGCTACACTGTTAAATCCTGTCAAGTACTTTGAGACGGCCTCCCAACATGAACGACTCAAAATTAAATGCAAGATCAAAATCTATGAAGGCGTCACTGAACCCATGGATGAGCGTCATTGATACTAAGCGCAGAAGGAACATCAGCTGCCAAGCGTCATCTCATCAAAAAATTTAAATCAAGGAAGCATAGTAGTTTACAATCATTACTTAAACTCAAACATTGTTGGAATGAAATTACTATCAGTTATCCTTTTTTTTGTTGAAGCGCTGATGTCAGCTACATTTCATGTTTGTAAATGTTTTCTGGCAGTAGCTCTCACATGGACAGCAGCAGCCAGAACACTCCCTGCAGTTTAATACTCACTCACTGAAAGACTGAGGATTGCAACATTTGGTCAGTCACTGGAGTTTGCTGAGGTAGCTGATTTTAGCTCATTGGCATTGGGAAATCTGTTCTTGCTTCCTGACCACATTCAAGATTTAGAGCAATGAGAGCAGAGATTTCTTCACTAGAAAATGGCCTAAAATATAATAATAATCCTTGCTTTTAATATAGCACTTTTCATGTCAAAATGTGACCAGTTTTATGCAATGCACTTATGTCCATGAGAATTTAATTTGAGTTTGCCTTATTGAGATGCAAAACCTACAAATTGGAGAATCGTATTAGGTTTAAACCAATGTCTGAGAAGTAGAAGTAGTGTTAAAAACAGATTCTACTGCATTTTAAGCATTTTATCTTGTAATCCTAGCTGTCGATTTTGAAATTGAAACATTGTTTATATCCACATGATTTAACTTGAAATAGAAAATAGTGCGTTAAATAAATTTTGTCAGAATATATCGGTCTTGGAAATCTGTCCATTCCAAACTCTTATTGTAAATATCATGAGCATTACTTTCAAGTCCTCAATTAATATTTATTGCCCCGCTTCCCCCAATATGATTCATGTGCAGATCTGTGATACGTATCCCAGACTGAGGCAAGTGAGTTTGAGTTTGAGTCAAATTTATGAATCAAACTTCCATTTTTAGTAATAAACAGTCTCTTACCATTTCAGCAACTTGTTTGATTGATGTGAAATATTTTACAAATTACATTCAGCCTTCTTACAAGTAGCTATCAATAGTCACACAATAATCATCACATACTGCAATTTTCCCCCATGATCATGAAGTGCTAAGACATTATTTGGGTTTGTGCAAAACTCATTGATAGTAGTAGAAGTTCAGGAAAGAACGTTCTTTTGTGCTTATTCAGTTTTTATAAAAATTTCTGCTTCATGTATTATAAAGTAAACTACCATGAACCTGCCTCACCAATATAGGTGTCATTTTCTGGTTTGGGTCCCAATGTAACTGACCCTTAAACTTTGCCTGTTTCAATATATTGAACTTACCTGCTCCAAATATGTCAGTCACGGTGGAAACAATTTGTTCATCAGTTAACACAGCGTTATTCCACCCCACCTTTCTATTTTGACACAGTGCAATGAGAGTATCAGTGATATCTCGCACACAATTCTATAAAATAGAAAGCATATTGATTATGTTGAAGCCTAGCATAAAAGTGCTGTTTTGAGGAATTTGTTTTCCGGAAATTTACTTGTTTTCAAATATAATTGTTATCATTATGAGTTGAGACCTGCAGCACACAGTCCACTCTTTTCCTTAGTGTATTGACTGACATGGAATTTCAATGTTGTCAAATCAAAGGATTCATTACCAAATGTTAAATCCCAACAGTTTAAAAACATAATGCATGGTAAAAAAAAGAACTGCAGACATACTGAAAAGTGTACAGGTAATTCCTTTTGTAATATTTAGATTTACAGACTTGCCTTTAAATATCCTCAAACACTCCATTAGGAACATCATAAGACACAAATTAAAAGTTCAGAATCCATCCATTCTTTTGAAATGGAATTAGATGATATGGAATTAAAAGAAATGCAGTGCCCCAAATATTAAAGGCAAGAAAAATGAGCAAGAAGAATGGGATTACGTTCGATGGAAGAAACACCATGGGGAAACACATGCGGAAAAAACAGTACAGATTTGATGGGCCAAGTATGGACTATTCTGTCCTGTAGCATTCTATAATTCTGTAAGAAGAGCTATGTACAAGTTATAAAATGATACATTTTACATAGTTTATCTTATCTATAAATTCATATATAGATGCAGTGTTAAAGTCCAATAACATCAAATAAATTTGTATCAGGTCGTGCATTAAAGACATATATCCCCTAAACTGGACAAATGTTAAACAACACAGATGGTTTTCAGTTTTTAACTGTTTGCGTTACTTTAATATGCTTTACTTACCTTATCAAATGTGGTGTAATGTTCCTGTATTGATTTAATCATAAAATTGTTCAACCTGTTAACAAACTTGATCATGGATTTAAGAGACGGGCTTGGCAGGTAACGGAAAAATGGGAACACGTCTGCAACATTTCCAGAAGCAAATGTTCTCATAACCTCATGATTGGTGTGGACAATATTGAGAAATTCTTTATCATTGTGTTCGTACCGCTTGCCAAAACAAAGAGCACAGATGACATTTGCTACAGTGCTAGTTATAGGTTCAACAGGATCAAAAGCGCCTTCCTTTTCAGCTTTGTTCAACAACACTTTGACTAATTCTGTAGCCTCAGCACACACATGTTCTTCGAGAAGACAGGAGCATGTTGAGCTTTGGGCCTCTGTTAATGAAAAAGCCCTCAAAGCATTCTTAGCAATCTTCTTATGTAGTTTCCAACTCTCCCCGTATTTTTCACTAAATGTCATTGTTTTCCCATTGCCTATCAATGAAAAGGTGTAGAAATCTGGTCTACCAGCAAAGCTGTTTCCTTGTTTGATCAGTGCTTGTTTAATCGTCTCCATACCACTTACTACCACCACTGGGACCATGCCTAGTTTTATGCAAAGCACATCGCCATATTCTTCACGCATTTTTGTGAGTGTTAAGTAAGGGTATTCTCCTAACTGTAACAAATTTCCAACAATAGGCCATGATCGAGGGCCTGGAAGAGAAACAGCAACATTTACAGCATTCCTTCTACCTCTGATGATGGTAAGGGTAACTACAAATACAATAAAGGTAATTGCGACTTCATAAATTGAAACAACCGGTAGCTCCCAAACAATTTTCATTGCTGTCATTTTCACTGTCCAAATGTATCCAGCGCTTGCACCCTGTAGATTAAAAATGGAAACACATCATCAATAACAAGGAACAGAGAAAACTGTTTAAAAAGTGTCTTTGGAAGCCATGTGCTCTATCATCTAGTAGTTTATTTTCATCTCTTTCATTTTTCATGTATGATTCTTTTTGTTTTCCTATTACTGATGTCTACATTTTTTAGGTATTGTTCTATCATTCATCTTGAATATGGGAATTATATTCACCTGTGTCCAGTGTGTCCAAACCTCCTTGTGCCAACAAATCTCTTGCCATGTCATGTAAGATCGTTGCCTATCTTGAATGCCATGCTGAGAGATAAGCAGCTGGTACTGAAGCTCCACGACTCCAATTGGCAGAACCATCTCTCAATGCATTGGGGTTTCTATCGTTTCTATCTGGGTTGTGGGCAGGAAGGTGGTGGGCAATTCTCTGTGGCACTTTCAGTAATCCTATACCTGAACAAGGCATGTCCACTGTACTCCTCTGTACTCTTACCTGATAACCAATCAGCTAGCTCACTCGCAAAACTTAGAGGACCAGATCAGATCTCTGGGGTCTGCAAAGCGAAGGCTTATCAGGTAGTGTGGACTTAGGTGGAGAAACAGCAGGAAGAGTTACAGTTATCCACAAGGTTGGCTACGTGATTTTAGCTGGTTGAAATCCAGCGATATTGAAATGCACGCTCTAGGTTGCACAAGTCATGGTTTTCCATGTGTGTCAGATATCAAGTGACTAAATGAAATATGCTTTGCAAATCTCCCTTTTTAGTTCATAGTACCACAACCTTCTTCCCCTCCTTCCTCTCCTCCCCCGGCTTTAATCATCTATGAATTTAACTAAATACCCTTGTTTTAACCACATGAAGCATATACTGTTTTTCAGGCTTGTGAACTGATGGAGCTTCTTTGTTTCTAATGTCAATGTTTCAGAGCACAAATGACATATATTGGATGTTGGATAGCCTCATATTTGTTGTGGTTAAGAAAATAAGGTGTCATTTAATATGCTTGTTATCTACTGGTTATCCTTTATTTGAACTCCTGTTGGTCTCCTCCCTTCTTGGCTACCCTCTTGCTGTCATAGTATTGGAACAATTTCTGGCACCGTGTTTTGCATTTCTTACCATATATTTTTCTAATCTCACCTATTTCTCCTAGGTGAGACTAGATAAATATGGTATTGGACTTAGGCAGGGGGGCAAAATGTCTAAGTTGTCTCATGACAATAATTAGGAGGCACAGTAAACTGAAGAGGGATATAGAAGACTACAGGTGGCTACAGTTACATTAGCAAAGTGGGCATATGGGTGGCAAATGAAAATCAAAGCAGAAAAATGTGGAGTCACACATTTTGTGTGGAAAAATAAGTAAGGTGTCATACATTAAATCAAGGTGGACCAAACTTTTGGCTGCTGCGGGCTGCATGCCCTATTTGAGAAATATCTGTGGGATGCATAAGCATTATTTCTATGTTTCCCTTCCAGAAACATAACATAACATTCATGGGTTACGGAGGAAGCAGGTAGGTTAGATGAAATGGAGGGGTGGGTGAGGGGGGAGAGGGCCGGAAGCCGGAAGCGGCCCATGGGCCGCCAGTTGGACCACCCTGGAAATGGTGACATAGCTTATCCGTTATCTCCTGTTTGTGGGATATAAACAATTACAATGCTGGACAAAACACAAAATACTGCAGATGCTGCAAATATGAAACAAAAACAGAGTGAGCTGGAAAAACTCGGCAGGTCAGGCAGCATCTATGGAGAAAGGAAAGTGAGTCAACGTTTCGGGTCCACGACCCTTTGTCAGAACTGGGGAATTTTGGGAGGGAGAGATTTTTAAGGACAAGTTGAGAGGGGAGGCAGGACAAGGAAGACAAAGAAGGCAAAAAAGAAAACAAAGGAGAGACTGTGTTAGTTGATTGGTTGAAGAGATGATAGTGGCATAAAACAAAAGAAGGGATGTAAAACAAAAGGGGAGTGGGGGTTGAAACAAAACTGGGGAGAAGAAGTGTTAATAGTGCAAATTCGGCACTATTTTCAGCACCGAATAAAGCTGGTAAATGCCAGTACCGGCACTGTAATTATACCGAGCCAGAAATTCCAGTTTGCCCAACCAGATGTTCCCCCACATTGATCTGACCACCAGGGTTTTAGTGTGCAAGAAATGAGCAAAGGAATGGGATTAGAGTGGAGAGCTGCAGTGGAAGACTTAGCACAAGCACAGACACAATGGACTGAATGGCCTTCTTCTGTACTGTAAATTTTTTATTGCTCTGTGATCATTTTATGTCATTAATTCCATTGTATCACATTCGTCTCTTTCACAGTCTCAGATTAATTTGTCAACATGGCATGACAACACGTTATCAAAGTTCCAAATATTACAAAAGTTCTTTCTATTGTATATTTTAAACTTTATTCTGTACCTTAATTACGTTGTAAATGATAAGACTGCCAGATTACAATCAAATGTATACTTATGTATTGCTTACACTGAGTTAAATTATCAAACCAATTCTGACCTGGGGTGCCAGTAATTTGAAACCATTACAATCACATGGATAATGTAATGGAAGTCGAGTGGCTCTGGGCCAAATCTCTTTAAGCTTCGTTGAAATCAACCCAACTGGAATTATGCAACAACATCACACGCAAAGTTAAGAGAGCAACTTGAAAATAACAACTGTTGTTCTCAAACTCTGGGATCCTAAATCAGTTCCTGATCTGAATAAGAATCACGAGGTTGTTAAAATTGTTTGTAATTAATATTTTAAATAAGACAAAGAGTTGACCTAAATACCATTTCCACCATATTTTGCCTTTATTTCATGAATATTATATAAAGGAATATTATTATTTTAGAAATGAATGTTGCAAAAGACAAGACATGGTGGAACAGATACTCCAATCTGTTTCCAATTTTTTTGGGGGAAAGAAAAATCTAATTAGATTATGTTCTGTTGTAACTAAGCATGCCAATAAAATCCACAATCTTGACAAACCAAAAAGGGTTTGAATAATTAATAAGCAGTCAATCCACTTTATAGTATATCCTGTGAAACGCTTTGAGACGTCCCGAGGATGTGATAAGGCGCTTTATCATATGCAAGGATTATTATGTGAGGATCGACTTCAAGATCCTCACTTTTGTGTTCAAATCCGTTCACTCTCTGGCACCTCCCTACCTCTCCGACCATTTCACTCCACCCTCCGCTCGACTGCCACCAGCCTCCTGCTCATCCCTCGCACACTTCGCCCCACCATAGAAGTTTGTGCTTTCAGCCACTACGCCCCAAAACTCTGGAAGACTATCCCTCAATCCCTCTGCTTTGCCTCCGCTCTCCCCTCTTTCAAGTCCCGCCTGAAAACTTTCCTCTTCAATCGTGCTTACCACCGCCTGCCCACTCCCCCTGGCTCAGAGTCAGGGTCCGCCACTGTTAAGCGCTCTGAGACGCTATCTTGCATGGAGGGCGCTATATAAGTGCAACTTATTATTATTATTATAAATTGTAATGCAGTATTCGAGGGCTAATAAGAATTCTTGATTATATTTAAACTGTACTCAAATAAGGGGCTAAAATTCCACCTAGGTCAATATCTATTCAGTTAACCTAACATTTCAACCTTTGCAGCAGTTGTAGAATTCAGTTTAAACTTTGAAGAACTTAAAAGAACTTACAAAAAGCAACAACTGTATTTAGGAAATCATTCTGTGAAGAACCTTGAGACATCTCGACAATGTGATAAGGCACTATGTCAAATGCAATGATCATTATTATTTTATTTAAGAATCAGACAACTTCTGGATGTGCTGAAACGTTACATTAATAGAGTAAGTGTAGACCCAGGTGGCGTTTCTCACCACCGTTTGAAAACATGAAATATTGTGCATAAAACTACAGCAGCGTGACTTTATTTAAACTCTTCTCTGTACAACACTGCAACACGTTTCAATAATATTCTCTATACAACCCCACCCACCCTCCCAAAAAACTAAAGGTGGAGATCAAGTATAATAGCCAATGTAAATTAAACTACGAAGGAAACATAATAATAATAATAATAATAATCCTTGCAAATGCGCCAACAACATTGCGCAATTTGAAATAAGCATTTCCACTTAAATCTGCAGAAACACGCCTGGTTTACAAATTAAATGGGATAAAATCTCCAAAGATGAATTTGCACTATGGATTGCATGGTTTTTTTTAAAAAGAAGGGCCAATATAAAAGAAGCAAGTAAATGTTTTTTTTTAGATATATACTGTATTTTCCTTCCGATCTCTGAAAAGGAAAAGTACTTACTCTGGGGCTGTGTGTGTGGAATTGCTGTGCCAGGAATCTGGTGAGTTCCTTTCTGCAGCTGCTGCTCAGCAACTTTTGGAGTTTCTCTGTCTTATCCTCCTCCTGTACAGTGACGCTGACGCTGGAAGGGAATGTAAGCCAACCCCAAATCCCTCTGGATCCAAACCCCAGTGCAAAACCACTGCACAAACCCTGCAGAATAAGCAAATGCTGCGACTGATGGGATTGTGTTACATGCCACCACCTAAGCTTCGTTCTGAAGACTTGCATCCAGAAACGTAATTCAAAATAACTTTTCGAAATGATTGCAGATCGATGTCCTGGTGGAACTGTATTCTCGCAGATTCAATAAATAGCAATAAATAGCAATAGGTGGCAGGTTAAAGGGATAATTTAGAATAAGATGATCAGATACTTCAAAAGATAGCCTGGGTCAGATGCTGTCCATGTTACATTACTTACCAATCCAGCAAGTACTTTCTATTCATAAAAATGCCTCTGGTTATTTGATCAAGAATAAGGTTCGTTACTGGGCTGCAGACTTGCCTTTTTGCACTCCTTACCATGAACTAGGAATGGTGACCAAGTGATAAGAGAAGATACAATTTGGAAGGAGAAGGGAAGGTGAACCTATCCAAGAGTTCTTTCCCTGACATTGAGATAAGGTAACTAATAACAGCTGCTGGATGGCGTTACTTGAAGTCCAGGTTTGTGAACACATAATAATAATCCTTGCATTTGATATAGTGCTTTTCACGTCTTCTAGACGTCTCAAAGCGCTTCACAGAATATACTGTAAAGAATTGACTGTATATTTGTGGGTGAAACACGGCAGCCAAGTTGTGCACAGCAGCATCCCACAAACAGTTGTGGATTGAAGCGACCAATTTATTATTGTTTTTTTTTTCTTGAGGGATTATTATCAGGCGTGTGGAGTAAGGAAACTTGCCCAAGGTTTGCCCTGCCGGGAATCAAACTCAGGTCTCTCGCTTGAGAGGCGAGTGCTCTAACCACTGAGCTGCAGGACATGTTTGTATATCAAACTCTGGGGTCCCCAAGCCTTGGCTCTTGCCAACCTGTGCCTAATATTCTCTTGAATTGGGTAAGCAAAATGTATCTATTCAGGGAGAGTGTGCATTCCATTCCTGACACAGGGCAATGTCCACATGTAAGTAGAATACAAATCTGGTTTGGATACTTTTAAACATGGTGATGGATTTCCACATGTGCCAGACACCCGACAGACCATAAAAACAAGAATGGTTAGCGAAAACTGAATCACATGATTATTTACTTTCCACACTGACCGCAATGACTGCAGCAAGAGGCTTTTGGGCATGACCATTTGGAAAATATTAGGTGGAGGATGTTAACCCACAATAGTCATTGAGTGAGATATCACCAGCCAGGGAATGTCTTGTTATATCAGTGGTGGCCAACTTTTTGGTCGGCCAACAAAATAAATGTTCTTGATTGAATATTTCTTGATTTATGCCTTAATCAAGAAATTAAATCAAGAAAAATCTGTAAATGCATTGATTAATTGAACATGGACTTACCTGGACTAGCGCGAATGTCAGGGGGTATGCTTCTTACAGCCACCTCCAGCCCACGAGCTAAATGTTGGCCACTACCATTATATGCTAATTATCATATCATATACTACATATTTCATCCCATGGTGAGCTCACATGAGGGGAATGAAAGTCTTTGACATGAATGAGAAATCAAGATTCTTGGAGGCAGCTTGAGAAATAGAAATATGAGGGTTCCATTTGCGCTCAGATTTGAAAAAACTCATTTCTAATTGTAATAATCCTGCATTTTGTTCTACCACCTTTCACATCAGAAGGTGACTGTGTATTTAGTAGGTGGACTTAATAGCCAATTTGTTCACAGCATTGTCCTACAAACAGCCATGAAGTGAATGACCAATTTGACCTGGGGGATTATTGGCCAGGATACTGGGAGAAATTCCCTTGTCTTTAGAAATAATGCCATCTTCATGAGCAAGAACCAAGAGCAGAGAACTCAAAGGAAATAAGTAATAGCTGCTGACTGAACCTTTGAGAAAATTAAAACTGTATATCTTTGACTAATTGAAACTAATCAACATTTTTAGTGTTCCATTGAAGAAGAACAACAAGATTACATTTGTATAGCGCCTTTCACGTCGGGAGAACATCCCAAGGCGCTGGACAGTGTACAGCATTTCAGATCCGAGCTGGGGACAGGGAGGGAGAAAGGAGGGGAGGGGAAGGGGGGTGGCCGATGGCATGGTCAATGAGGAGGGTTTTGAGGCAGGACTTAAAGGAGGCTAAGGAGTGGGTGAAGCAGCATGATTGGGGATGGAATTCCAGAGGTTGGGAGCAGAGTGGCTGAAGACTCTCCAGCCAATGGTGGGGCGGGTGGGTCAGGGGACGTGGAGCAGGCCAGAGCCGGCTGAGCGGAGGGAACGGGCAGGTTGGTAGGGGGTTAGGAGGTTGCAGAGGTAGGGTGGGGTGAGGCCATGGAGGGCTTTGTAGGTGAGGACCAGAATCTTGAACTGGATCAATAGGGAGGGATCGGGAGCCATTCAATTTGGGCGAGAATGGGGGAGATGGGGGTCCCAGAGATTGGTGTGGGAGAGGACATGGGCTGCAGAGTTCTGGATTATCTGCAGCCTGTGGAGGGAGGAGTTGGAAAGGCTGACAAGCAGGGAGTTTGTATAGTCGAGCCTGGAGGTAATGAAGGCATGATCAAGAGTCTCAGTGGCCTGAGGGGCGAGGTAGTGGCGGAGTCGGGCGATGTTACGGAGGTGAGGGAAGGCAGAATGGGTCATAGTTTGGATTTGGGGAAGAAAAGACATTTGAGGGTCGAACAAGACACCTAGATTCCTAACTGGCTTGGTGAGCCATAGAGGTAAATGCTGCCAGAGCCTGAGACCATTGGAACATTGGAGACCAAGATTTTCTGATTCAACTGTAGAACTGCAGAAGGTATGAAGGATAAACAGTGCTCTTCAGAAAGTTGAATGTACAACCATGCTGCAGAAAGATACCTATCAAATAGCTCATGGGAAAACTCTGAAGCTTGGGTAACAGCTGGTGGAAGGTGTTACCTGGAATCCAGATTCGTGAGCAAACATTCATATATCCAGGGCTTGGTATCCACCTTGACTGGTATGCAGAGAAGTATGCACTTCTATGCTTCCAACCAGTTTCTTTTAAACCTATAATTTCCAATGGTTTCAATGGTTCAAACTGAACAATACAATTGACATTCATAGGCACATAGGAATCAGGAACAGGAGTAGACCATTCGGCCCCTCGAGCCTGCCCCGCCATTCAATAAGATCATGGCTGATCTTCTAACCTAACTCCATCTGCCCGCCTTATCGCCATATCCCTTAATCCCTTTATCTTTCAGAAATCTATCAATCTCAATCTTGAATATGTTCAAGGACTGAGCATCTACAGCCTTCTGGGGTAGAGAATTCCATAAATTCACTAACCTTTGAGCGAAGAAGTGTTTCCTCAACTCTGTTCGAAAAGGCTGACCCTTAATCTTAAGACTGTGACCCCTATTGCGAGGGCATCTCAAGATGCTTGACAATGGTGAATGGACACCCAACCTAGAGGTGGGAGCTGAGAGGGGTGGCTACAGCAAAGATGATTGAAAGTGTGGTCAAAGAATGAGGGGAGGGAAGGAACGGGTTGGACAGATTCCAAAATGGAAGCTCAGAAACTGGAGACTGAATGGCTGAAAGCCCGCTCTTTGATAATGGGCCGCATAAGGCAAGAGACTATTGTTTGCTAAGCAAAAGGAGCATTGGGTCAGTACAGTTGAAGGAGGTCATGACAGTAGAGTGAGGTGAGACTGTGGAATGATTTCAAGGTGAGAACAAATGTTTTTAACTTGTTCCAGTAGGGGATGAATGCACATAGCCTTACATAGTCTAATGGGGGAAATGGCATAGGTTGTAAAGTTCTGAATAGTTTGCAGCTCACGTGGTGAAGAGCTGGAGAGTCCACTGAGCAGAGCATTGTCATAATCATGTCTAGATGTAATAAAAGCATGGATGAGGGTCTCAAAAAGAGAGATAGCAGTGAATGCAGGCTGTTTCAGAGTTGAGGAAAAGTTGAAAGCTGAGAGATAAGATCATGGATGTGGGGACTAAAAAAAATTTGGGAGTCAATCAAGACACTGAGATTCTGCACTGGATCCACTATATGGTATGTTCATCTATTCAGGTTGATACTGTCAGTATCTGAGGTGAGAAGGTGCTGATGGAAGCCAAGAAGCAGAGTAGTGGAAGCAATGGAAAGTTTGCTAGATAATGCTCGCAATGGCAAGGTTCTATGCAGTTTTAGCTGGTTAAACACCAACAACATCCCAGCACATATTCTGGGGTACCAAAGTCGTGGCTCTGGGCAATCTGCACCAAATACTTTCCGGGTGTGTAAGTAGGGTGTTTCCTCCAGGGAGATAGAGGTATTCTGTTCCAAACAAATGGGAAATTTCCATGCGTAACTGGCACGCATATGTGAAGCTCTTAGTCAAAATATTCTTAAACATGACAATGAGCGTCCACGTGTGTCAGACACCTGGCTAACCAAAAAACAAAATTGTTAATATATCAAACTGTGGAAAACATTAACATGCTCGACCTTGCCTTGTAGGTGAACTCAGAAATTTGACTTTCTCTGAAGATCAAACTCACCAAACTTCAATGTAAATGTTAGTGGAGCAAATAAATTAAACATTAACATTTAGATTTAGTTTACCAAAATTTGCCCATGAGATTGAAAGAATTCACTGACAACCAATGTTTCCTATACAAACAAACCTGACTTGTGACCTAAAATAAACAGCTGAAAATTTCTCACGAAAACTATCCCTTTTCATTCTGAAATGGTAGGCACCTAACTTTTACACAGAAATGCACTGATTTTTGTTAGAGGAATGGAGAATACACACAAGTTTATGTAGTATTTAAAATTGTCCAGTTTGTCAACTGGATTAAAATGGAAAAATCAAAGCCCAGCTTTCCTTTTTACCAACATCCATTCCCTGAACAGGAATGCTTTTTTTCACTTACGCCACATTGCCCGCATCCATCCATACCTTACAACCAACGCAGCTGAAACCCTCATCCACACCTTTGGGAGTTCCCGACTGGCCTATTCAAATGCTCTCCTCGCTGGCCTCCCCAGGTCCACCATACACAAAGCACAATTATTTCAAAACTCCGTCACCCGG